CCGAACTGGCAGGAGTTCAGATGTAATCATGCCCGATCTGATGGAAGCCTGGAAGTGAGTGCGCGAGGTGGTTATAAAAGGCTCCTACCCCCCAGGAACGAGGTATGCTAACTTTTGCGCTATCTGGTCTATCTTGCCTTTGAAAGACTCTAACTTGAGCTTTGGAGCCCTTACGCTGGGTTCTCTCGGAGTTTCTCTTCTCCCTCCGTTTCAGGTCCCTGCCACCCAGTCAGAGGCAAAATCGTTGACAACTAAGATCGGCCGGATTGTGCATCATCAAAATGCTTCACCGAAAAAGTGGATTTCTTAGCTCAATTATAGTGTACTTGGGCTGTTCCGGTTTTCTACACTAAATATATCTTCTAAGCTTTTGTGTATGACCTACTCTCGCAAAGCCACGAGCCGCTGCGTGAAAGTCCTCCCAAATGGGCACTGAGTCCAAGTCCAAGAGGTACTGTCACATAATTTGGTTAGCCATGAAAACTTATTTACTTTTATCATATAAAGCTTCCGTTATTGGTGTTATAACTTGTAAAATTAAGTTTTAAATGGTATTACTCAAACTCCAATATGGTAAGACACAATATTGATTGCAACATTCACAATGAAACAAGTCATTTTAGTATGTTTCTACCCAATCTTAGGGGTGTTTACCTTTAATGTCAATCCGACCAAACTGGTTCGATCCAACCAGAGTTGATTGGTTTTTCAAAACCATCAGTCGGTTTCGATTTGTATGAAAAAATAAATTGATAATTCGGTTTGGTTTTGGTTTTTATACATGAAAACCGAAATTAAATCGAACCGAATTGATTCTATATGTTTAAGTAATTATTAATTAGTCTATACCCCAAGGTTCAAAGTATCGACACGTATCGACCAATATGTATCATTCCGGAACCTCTCCGATACGCCCCTACAATGGGTGTATCGGGGGTCTGACCGGTTTAGGGTGTGGAGGAGGCCTAAACCGGCTTCCTTGAACCAGTTGCGAAAAAAATAAAAAAATGTACCAAAAGCTGTGATTCGCCCGATACGCCCATACCGCGTATCAAGCATATCGATATTTTGAACTTTGCTCTACCCTATATGTTAAGTTTTGATATATTTTATTTGTGTTTTGTTTGAACTTTGAAAAAAAATGGTTATTTATGATAAAAACTAAAAAGTAAAACCAATACAAATATAATACAATGGCACAATATTTAATTCAGTTGTGTATAAATTTAAATATATAATGACAAAAAAAAATCAGTTTTGCATAAAAAATTAATCGATTTAAATATATATTTTGATTTTGCGTAAAAACTAAAAATAAATAAACTTATATATAAATAGATATTTAGAAATAAAAATTTTAGTTTAAAATATATATAAAAACTGACTAAACCAATAAACCAACCCTTTATGTTTGGGTCGGTTTTGCTTTAGGGTCGATCAATTTCGATTTAGTTAATAAGTAAATCGACCAGATCAGATCAATTAAAGAAAATAACTCAAACTGATCCAACCCGACCAATGAACACCCCTACCCAATCCAAGTTATGTGCATATTTATCTTGAACTTTTGGGGTTGGAGATGGACTTGGGCCTGGAAAATTGGGGTTGTCATAGTTTGGATTTGGGCCTCAGGTTACCTTAATACGATCTAAGCCTTGCCCAACTTTAGCTCAATCGCATCAAATAAATCTCACACTATTTGTGTAATATGTGGTCTAAACCCACCTAAGGCTGTCGATGGGTTGAGTAGACCCGATAGAACGAAATAGAAGCAACCCAATTATATAAGGTCTGCTTCTGCATCACGTATCGCAGTTATAATTGGTCCAGATCAATTTCTTTATTCTGAACCAATAGAGACCGGAATCGACTATATATTTAACTGTCTATGTGTATATTTGTATATTAAAACGATAATTTTATTTGATACCTTTCTTACACGTACATGACACATTTGTGGCATTACCATATTATTATTTCTAAATGCGTAAATTTAACAAATGTGCAGATTTATTATCAAATTACAAGTTAAAACGTATATACATTGTTGATTATAAACAGTTATTAAGGCTGGACCCGATAATCTTGATTAAGAACCGGGTCAATTCCCACTCTACTACGAGGCCTAGGCTACCGATGAGGTGTCACTTATGCTAGAATGGCGCCAAAAAAAACACGTCACCCATGTTCACAGGTTCTTGTAACGTGGACTGTATGATAGATGATGTGGCATATCTTGGTTGGCCTATGTGGCTAAGGCTAGACCGTTGAAGCAGACAAAATGGATTCAATTCATATGATGGGAATTGTATATGCTTATTGTCTGGTATCCGGGTTATTGGATATCCATATAATGACAGCCCTGCCTGTAGGGGAAAGATCCAGATATGGAACTTGCAATATAGTCTATAAAAACCAAACCTAGAATTGATTTATGGGAATAAGAAGTCAGCAGATTTGGAATGGGTGGGGTCAGCCCGATGATGATCCGTTAACGTCAACAAGTCTCCCCTTGAAGGATCTGTTTGTTGTGCAATCGTAACACGCCAAAGCTAAAAAGAATAAGTAAAAAAAAATGTAATGTCTACTAACGCGGCATCTGAAAAGGTCGAAAGGAATTAATACATCACGTGGCCAGCCTAGTCCTATTTTCAATTTTCTAGTGGGAAGAGAGAGAGTACAAAAGGAATACTTGAACAAGAGAAAGAGGGGGTGGTGTGGACTGTGGACACTGGACAGCCATTTAACGCGGCCAAGGAATTTATATATGTAAGACGCGAGATGGAGGGTTCAGATTGGGCAAATAAAAATGATAGAATGAGTCACATTCACTATGGCAACGTTTGAAAAAACAATCCGGAAACGAAACCGTTCTGGACCTTTTTTTGAGTTAATGGTTCGAAGGGATAGTTCATTCTGATAAATAAATTAAAAAAAATAATTAAAAATCAAAAACAGTCAAAATGGTTGAATAGATTGATGGATTGACAGTTTGATCATATAGTTCAATAGATTGTTAACTTTTTCAATGGTTTTTTATCAAATTAGATTTGGGATAAAATGAAACCGATTATTTAAATGATTTTTGGGCTGAACGGTCTGACCGTCTGGAATAACGGTGGTTCAAAAACCTTGCACTATGGGCTGGGGTGTTGGGGGGATGGATGGTTTTTATAAGGGTAAAACAGAGATGCATGTGCGGATATTAAGAAGTGATTTGTTGTTGTGGGTGGTGGGTCTAACAAGTAATGCAGGGCATTGGATGTTCAAATTGTTAATTAATTGTTTTTTTTTTAAAAAAAAAGCTGGGTCTACGACCCGACAATCTCACATGGAGCCTTGCGTGAACCTTGCCCTTGCCGTGGGCTTTTCCTCTACTTCTCACCCCAAAATTAGATTTTCGATCAAATTCTTGTACAATGTTTTCCACGTCTTAATTATGAAAGAAATATGTAGAATATTGCACTTTGGTTTGAAGAAAAATGTAAAGAAAAGAAAGGAAAAGAAAGATAGGAATTAGGAAACTTTTATAAATTTTTTATTGATTTTCCTGTTTTTCTCTTTTTTTCTTTCCCTTTTCTTTCAAATCAAACATTGCCTAAATTCTAATTGTGATGTATTTGAATTTTGAAATGACCAAATTAATCAAGGAGTACGCAATTGGCCCACAAAAAGAAGCCGAAAAGAAAAGGCCCACAAATAGAGAACCCATACACCACCGCCTCCATACCCTATCACGTTGAACAAGCAATCAACGTGATAGGATGCTAACTTTTTTTCACTTTTTAATTTTTTATTGATGGGCTAATTGGGCTTGGGTTGAGACGTAATCTCAATGTCTGATTGTTGGGAAAGAGAGACGTAATTCATAATAATGCCTAGAGAATTATGATTTGCTTAGGCCACACTTTGGAGTCAAAGACAGTCAAATAGATGATGGATTCCATTTGAAATTACAACTTGTAGGAGAATAGAGAAAAAAAAAAAAGAAACATGATTTTTTTTATCTATAATAATAAATATTTTATAATATAGATGCATTGCCAATTGTAATAAACATTTTATTTTTTTATTTTCTGAATATTATGTATTAATAACCTGCTGAATTCATGGGCTTTCCAAACATTATTGCAAGCCCAAGATACGGCTTATCTGAATTATTAAGTTCAACGAGCCCATTGAAGTGGTAAAATTTTGGGATGAACCACACTCACACTCCACAGCCCAAAATAATGAATCTGGTTCGCGCCGAAGGGTAAACCGGTAATGCTTTTTCACGCGGAGCGGAGCTGCGGAGGACGTGGAGAGAACTAAAACTGGGAGAAGTTGTGATGGTTGTTTATTTATTAAGCGGGAAGCGGGAGAATAAAGAATTGGTAATAAGGTTTCGGGGTGTGACGTGTCATTTAGAAATTGGAAAGTGAAAAACATAATTTTACGGTGGCGGTCATGTGAGCATTTTCATTTTAATCCTTTTCTTCTAAATTCTAAACAATCTCTCTCTCTCTCTCTCCTCTTAACACTTTCGTATTAGCTGCACTCTCTCTCTCTCTCTCTCTCTCTCTCTCTCTCTCTCTGTGGCTTTGCAATGGAAGAACAGAAAGCAGATCAGAGCCGAAGAGACATGGATAATTCACAGGGTGCCCAAAATGCAAAAGCGACGACGCCAATGCTCGGGACCTTCAGAAGTTCTCATCATCGGCGAGCACACTCGGAGATGAATTTCAGGCTGCCCGATGACCTAGATCTCGCCGGAGATCCATTCGACGCGCCGACTGGGAGCTACGAAGAGATCGGATCAGAGGACGATATCTTCTCTACTTACATGGACATCGAGAAGCTCGGATCCAAGATTGAGGATTGTAGTACTGGAGGAGCGACGAAGCTCGGAGATTGTCGGATCGACAATGCCGCCTGTGTGGGTCAGAATGGCGGTACCGGAGTTGGTGGGGTTGCGGTGGAATGCGGTGGTGGGGATAAGAACGTGAGGCCGCGGCACCGGCACAGCAATTCGGTTGATGGGTCTTTGATTTCGAGGGGCGGTGAGTCTTTGTTTGCTGATACAATTGAGGCCAAGAAGGCAATGGCTCCTGATAAGCTTGCTGAGCTCTGGGCTATTGATCCCAAGCGGGCTAAAAGGTAAACTTATTTGGTGTTTTACAAGGACCTCTTTCTGGGACTTGGATGGTTTGATTGAATTTTGGACTCGGGTTTTGTGTTTGAAATCTGATTTCTTTGTTTCTGAGTCTCATTCATGTAGTCTTTCATTAAATATGACAAGACTAGTGTAATGCTGGAAATCAGGTCATTATCCTGGGAACAGTATTGCCATGACACTAAAATCTAAAATTAATAGATTTTATTGGAAATTATGCATCTAGAATGCTTTATTTGTAATTGTGAATACCATATGTTATCTCCCGTGTTTAGTTTTCGTTCACTCCCACTCATGAACATAGAACGATGCAGAGATGGGCCAGCCTTAGAATTATGACATGTTGATTCCAATTTTACTCCAAAATTAATAGTTTCTTGCAACTGTGATTTAAAAAAAAAAAAAAGAGAGAGAGAGACTGATGACAGACAAAAGGTCTTAAACCGTGATTTGAATATGGCTCAAGATAACGATATCTGAATTACGACGGAAACAATTAGAAACAAACGCATCCAGGGAACTTATGAGTAGCCCCAGTAGATTACAAGGTTAAAAAAGTTCACATTTGGTTTGGGCATGTGCAAAGATGACCAATGAGTCAATGGTCACGGGAACAATGAGTAGCTTGGTGAAGCACTGCATCAAAGTATCACCTCGGCAACTATTAAAGGGTTTTAAGTCCCTATATATAGGGGATGCATTTGGCAGAGGAAGGTTCCTACATAGTCACTTAGTCCTTGCTTTGTTCTGTGGGATAACCTTAGGAGGGATTCAATAAGTAATTCAGTGCACTTATAATTTAACAATGGATATGACACTGAACAGAACAGAATGGCAAAACAGAATTCATGTAGCCGACTCCATATAGTTGGGACAAGGCTTAGATGGTGATGATTCAATAAGTAATTTGATCTTTGCAACCTGAGAATTGATTAGGCAAATTTTAAGGGTCATTTAAGTCCAAAATTCAGGGTCAGGAGGGAACAAAATAGGAGAGGGAAAAAAGGATCAAATGGACAGAGTGGTGTTTATCAGAATGATCTTTTCTTTTTCTCTCTCAGCTATTTTAATCAGGCATTATTGTAATTATTTTGGCCTCCTCATTTTAGTTGTTATCTCCTAAGTGTTGACTCACATTGACTGATTGACAAGCTAAAATACCTAATTGCTGCCTCACTGCCTTGACCAGACAGGGTGCAAGTAGAAGGTTCTAAATAAGCAAGGAGAATGCTAACAAAGATGTGGTTTGAAGTAGTGTGAAATTACTTTACTGTATGACAGAAAATATGGTGGAACTGGCATATGTATCAACCCCAAATAGTTGGATGAGACTTTGTTCAGCAGAGTCTAGATATTACTTTTCTTCTAATAATGAGTATTTGAGTTCCACCATTGAAAATCTGTTATCTAATTTAGTGCCATTTTGAATAAAAGATGTATATGGCTATCAGATAGTTTCACATTGCTTTTAATAGCCTTAATTTGCACCTACACTTGGGCCTTAAGATAAGCTAAAAGTGGACCTCAAGTTGTGCTGAAGTTGGGTCTCCTGATAGGCCAATGTCTGTGTTACTGTAAGCCCATGCCCAGCTAGTCTTGCAATAGTTATCATTGGCTCTAATAAGAACTTTAGAAGAATGTTCTTAGATTTACATTGATTTATTTAAAGGATGTTTAGGAATATCTTTGTTAGTCCTTTGCTGATCCAAAAAAAAAGAAAAAAACATTGTTAGTCCTTGTTTAGAAGATTCCTATTGTGATTTCTTATGCAAAATTGTTGCATGATATGATTTCACAGCTATCTCATATGGTGCTTATCCCATGTTCCCCTAATTGGCTAATTCCCTTGCACTCTGTATAAATTGTAGAAATTAAAAAGAAGAGAACAAGAAAATAAAAAAAATTCTTTTAGAGAGAGTGGGCCCATTTTCACTTCCTCTCACTCCCATTTCTTTTAGATTTATAAAATAGAGGAGGTCAAAAAGAAAATTTACTTTCCCATTTATCTCAGCTGTCTTTTATATTTTGGTTTCCATTGCCAACCATACTAAGAAAAAATCACTTTCTTTTATGCCTATCCAAAAAAACTCACTTTCTTGTTTATTTCCTTTTCCTTTCTTTCATTTTCTCCTCAAGCAATGGTAGTTTTAACCTCAGTTCTATTTTCTCTTAATCTAAGACCTTATTTCTACATCTATATAATTATTTTCTTCTATTCCCTAATTAATCTAGCTTATTATTACTCATCCCCTTGAAGGCTCTGTCCAGCCTTTCCTTGAGTGGTTGTCTTCCATCAATATAATGAAATGGAATTTGATTACAGAACTAATGGTTTTGTTTGAATACTAGTCTTAAGTTAATCCTATTCAAGAAAGCCTAATTGCAACAATATGTTGTTGACCACATGTGTGATTCTTCCTTAGATTATGATTTCTGTCATTAAAATGGTCATGTGGTAGTGGATATATATTCTGTTAAATAGATTTGAAGGCAGAATTTTGAAACTTCAAAGCCTTTTGGGATTGTGATTTTCAGGATTCTTGCAAATCGGCAGTCTGCTGCTAGATCAAAAGAGAGGAAGGCTCGCTATATATCAGAACTTGAGCGAAAGGTTCAGACATTACAAACTGAAGCAACAACCCTTTCTGCACAATTAACGCTATTTCAGGTTTTTCCAGATTTTTTGCTCTCCTTGTTACTTGATGTCAAATGCTATATCTATCTATCTGTACAGATCTTCAACATGTAGAAATTTGCATTTTTATCTATATTCAACTTAAATTAGCAGTGACATGACAAATTTTCAATTTTTGAAATGCCCAGGTTACCCTAGGCAATAGCAATTACCTAAGTGCCAAAACTAACTTATCCAGTTTTTTTTTTTTCTTTTTTCTTTTTCCTTTTCTTCCAAATTTAAGAGATGGTTATTGTTTTGTAATTTTGCTTTTATCATCTATTGTTTCCATGTCTTTTAGAATGCTGCATTAAAACACATAATTTTAAACCTATCATCCTTCTTTTCAGAGAGATACAACAGGTCTGACTACCGAGAACACAGAGCTTAAGCTTCGGTTACAAGCTATGGAGCAGCAAGCTCAGCTCCGTGATGGTAAGGTTTCAGTTGTAACGTTTTTCTCTTTGCTTCAGTCTACAACCTATCATGTCATGCATCTTGCCTGAAAATATGAGTTGAATAATTCTTGTAGTCATTTATTCAGATCAGTGTTGGTTGCATGGACCCCTCTAAATGGTTGAAGATGCTGATGTAGGAATAATCAGATTGCAACACTATATAGATTCCTTTTTGATGAAACACTCCATAGATTCTTAAAGAACTTTTCTATGTGACCATTGCCTTCTCCGTATTCCACATTAATGAACAGCTAATGTAGAATATGTGTACCATTTTTCCAATTGAATGTTGGTAAGAAAAGCCTTAACACCTTTTTCTTTGTGCATACAATGTTAGAATCCAGCAGGGGTAGCCCACCTTCCATACCCATAACCCCTCCAAATCCTGGTGAAGGTGGGAATTCATCCCAAGTCTCCATTACAACAGTACAACCTGCTAGAGACCTTACTGACCGAGCCAGTTGGTACCTTCTAGTCATGATTTTATCAGAGTGCTAAAATCATCTGGAATTCTGGTTTTGGGCCAAGTCTCATCCAAATAACCAACTAAGTGGTTTTTCTTTTATCTTATCTGTGTTTTTCCTAGTTTTGTTTTATTCTAACCCATCACTGTGAATATTGAATTAAGCAATGCTTGTGTTTTGGATAATTAATGCAGCCCTAAATGAGGCACTGAAGCAGGAAGTTGAAAGACTCAGAATTGCTACTGGGGAAGTATCAAGCCCTGGAGATGCACTTAACTTGGTGATGCACCATGTGCAATATTCTCCATCACCTTTCTTCTGCCTTCCACAACAACCAGGTTCTGGAGGCCACCAGAGCTTTCAGATGCCGCAATTTCAACCTTCTCAGTCTAACATGGGAAGCCACCCACTGCTTGCATCTCAATCTCATGCTTTCTCAGAGATGTTGCAGCAGGATCCCCTTGGCAGATTACAGGGGCTTGACATAAATAGTAGGGGCTCACATCTCGTGAAGTCTGAAGGCCCTTCAATCTCTGCCAGCGAAAGTAGCACCACCTTTTAACTTGAATTTGGCATCCATCCGCTGACCTTACCAATTGCCCTACCCCATATGTTAGACTGTCCATAACCTGACATCATTCTGCTGTCCCGTCCATGTAGCTTTGTTACTCCTCGTTATTTCCCAAAATATTTTTATTAATTTTTTATTCCATTTGTATCTTTCTTGTGGCTCTATTTTTCTTCTTAGCGTAACTGCTTTGACTTCATCTTTCTGTTTCTTTCTTTGGTCAAGTTCTTTTCAAACACCATCACTGAGTTACTTTTATGTTTAATCAATACAGAATTCATTTTATTGGTGTGTCTGAGAAAGAGAAGAAACATTGTTGATTGTTTTCTCCACTAGGGGTCTGTTTTCTTTTCTTTTCTTTTTTTTGCTGGGGGGGAGGGGGTGTGAAGGTTGAATCTACCCATGTCGAGCCCTATTTGTATCATCTCTATTGGTACTTCTATAGCTTTATATTTGTAGTTATGTTCTTGACATTAACTTGATTTATTTGGTTGATTTGAATCTAAATCATCCTTTCTCGGAAGTTAATGTTACTGAAACGGTTGTAGTTTTGATTAATTGTTTACAGTATTGGACCATATATAACAGTGTGCATAATGAAATTTGATTGTTTTTTCCCTGAAATCCGAATATTCTTGGTTTTACTTGACTAAGGGTCCATTTGGTTCTGTCGAGAATCGGAGTTGGAATGGTCTATTCCTCTCACCTGTTTGGTTCAGTCAGAAATCGGAATCAGAAATCGGAATCAGAATCAGTTGGAGTGGTTTTTCATTCCCAAGGGAGAGGGAAGGAATGGCTATTCTCTCAAATGGGGGAATACCATCCCACCAGAAATAGAGAATGGGATTTCAATACAGCTGAACCAAACCATTGGACCATTCCGATTTCGATTCCAGACCCCTATTTCTGTAAACCAAATGGACTCTAAATACTGGAGTGATGTTTTTTATCCCAGGTTTTGTTGCACTTCAGAAACGTGAAAGAGGCCAGCTTTCATAATCCAAACAGAGCAGGTTTTCACTTGGCCGCTCTCATGTTTATGAAAAGTTTGAAGGGTCATTGGATTATTGCTGAAATGGTTGAACTAAATGATTTATTGCTTTGTAGTTTAGAGGACAAAATACGTTTTGATGTTTTTAGGGGTACAAACACCAAGGTGGCAAAGTCCAAAGTGTTAAGAGTATTGAAAAGGGAAAAAACTTTGCTGTTTGGTAGCATCCTGCACATTAGTGTCTGCATGTGTATAGGGCAAAAAAATATTTATAATCAATCAATGTTATTAGTTAGAGACAAACAAAGGACTGAATGAGGTAACGGGTAATGCGGGGAAGCTCTTAGTTAAACAGTCTGGGCTGTTTCTCCCAAACGGCCAATGTTCCAGGCAATTTTGTACCATTTAAAAAATGAGGATGGTAATAATTGTTGGGAGAATGACGGTTCAGCCTAAGGTCAGAATTTTTAGGCCTAAACTACAATTGAGGTAGGTGTCAGCTCGGAATTGATGTCAATTTACGGGCGGGCATTGATGTATAGAGTGGGGGGTTTTGACATTGTAAATGTTTATAGATCTGCAGTCGAATTCAGAAATTTGCATTGGGCCTATTTGTATTTTTCCGATAATTGTTTAGTCAAAAATCCTAATTTTATTTTCCCTTTTACCCTCTATTATTTTTGTTTTTTCAGTATTTAACTATCATGAGGCCGTATGCTGTCCATCAAAGTTTTTCCAGCAATAAAAACAAAATGAGAATTGTTAACATGGTTGTAGATTCCATAACCAATTACACACATGACACGTAGAGACTGTTAAATGTTGGTTGGAGATCCCATAACCAATAATTTATCATTATTTATGTTTTTGCTGAAATCATAATCAATCAATTGTTTTATAAATTCACCCAAATATTTAGAATAAAAATTAAAAATTCATGAACCTCACTTAGGATTAACATAATGTATGTGAAATCATCTAAACACCAAAACTTGAAAATGATATAAAAGACACCTCTTATTGAATTAATGTTAATTTTAATTAGATAATAAGAAACCTATTATGGGCTTAATATTAATTTAGGGTTTGTTTCGATACCATTTTTAGCTATGGGTGAAAGATAACAGTAGACTCAATAAGAAGGATTCAATTATATATTATAGCCATGTTATGCTTTTGGAAGAAAATAAAATAATTTAAAAATCTTAAAAACAAGACCTAGCCCTCTCCCTCTCTTTACCACAGTAGCAGAATTGTCGGTGAAGAGAAAGATAACCAACAACAAAGAAGGCAAAAGCGAATAGTGTGGCTGGATGGTTTTGGAGCAAAAAGCAAGATTAAATTTGATATGTTGTTTAGTTACCGAAAAGAACAAAAGTTCTGATCTATTTTATGATCCATTGTTAAAAAAAAAATCAAATCATTTTATTAAACTGATGATATCCTAGAATATGAACATTATGCTTAACCAGTGGTATAAATTGGAAAGACATACCCCATTTTATCACCTAAACCCAAAAGGTCTAAATTATAATCTGTTAAAGAACATTCATCATTAACATGTTGGTCTTGAAGATAGAAACAAAGATAAATAGAGAAGTGAATTTGAAAGTGAAGATCATAACCAATCTTTGGAGGGAGAGGAATGGTGAAGAGGGTTTTGACGAATAGGACAAAAGATATTCCGAAGGCCATATTCAAGTTGTCATATAAATTTATTACATGTTTATAAGTCGAATACTGAGAAAGTGAACTCCCATAACAATAGTCCACATTAAAAATGGTTAAGTAGAATAAAGAAATGTTTTTAGCCCTCTAATAGTATCAACTTAAATATCTATGGGGGAAGAAAGTTTTCATGAGGTTAAAGGTTCCATAATGCCCCAATCAAATGTGAAAAAAATTATATTCACTAAAAAAGTCAAAAATTTATTATAATATAGTGTCTCCATCTTGTTACCAACACCCATGATTAAAGGTTTTCATTCTCTTTTTGTTTTTGTTTTTTTTTTCTTATGTCTCATGGGGCTTCAAAAATGGGGGTAGCCCATCCCCCATCCCCTTAACCCCCTAACCTTGGTGGTAGTGGTATATGATCATCAACAAGTGAGACAATTGACAAGGTATAGGATGCCGAGTGCCACTATGGATTTGGATTAAATTGTAGCTACTAAAGACCTAAATCCAAATCCTTCCCAAGTTGAGGTTAATACCATATTTTCATCCCAAATTAGATTTTTGTTATCATACTTTATTTGCATTAATGAATTTAATTATATTTTTAATTATTGATTTTTGTATTTATTTTCACTTGTGCATTTCATGGGCCTCTCAACTAGTTTAAGATAAAATAGGAGATACATGGATACAATGGAATCATTAGAGCATATCTGTGAACAATAATACTAGTGAAACTCTCAACGCATTGATAATATTAAGCCCCCTTTGTTTTTACGTACATGGGTAAAGGATAAGTATATTTATTGGGGCAAGTTTTTATTGAGGTTTTAGTGTTCTTGTAAATACAAGTTATCTAGGTGGAGAGTGATGGTGTGCAATCCGGTTGGTCCTAGCTATTAACGATTTTGCCTCTGAACGGAGCTATAGGGAGCATGAAACAGAGAAGATAAGGAAGCTCCAGGGGGAACCCGGTATGAATGCTCTGAATCTCAAGTTAGAATTCTTAGGCAAGATAAAACCAGATGGCGCAAAGTTCACGTACTTTGTTCTTGGGGGTAGGAAGCCTTTTATAGCCACCTCGTGCACTCACTCCTAAGCTTCTGTCAGGTCGGGTATGATTACCTCTGGTCTCCTGCCAGTTCGGGTGTCATTCCCTCTGCTGGACAGAACCACCACTACTCCCTTTTGTCGAAGCCATCTCTGCGACTGGCGATGACGGTGGCAGGTGGCGGTGGTAGGTGACCGTTGAAATGCGGCTGTCAAGCGTCAGATCCCAAGTCATTCAGGTGCACCGCCCTCGGATACGGACCTCCTCAATGTCAGGTATGGTACGTTTGCTCAATTCGACGTCCTGGAGGCAAAGTGCTGGAGTGGCAAACGAGGTGAAGTCTTGAGCTCGGATAGGGGAGTGTCCCGAACTGCCATGAGGCGGGCCAGTTCGGGTCACTGACTTGTGTGGCTCGGGGCCTAAGGGAGAGTTCGGGCTCCTCGTAGGGAGTTCGGGCTCTTAGTAGGGAGACCGGGCTCTTAGTAGGGAGGTCGGGCTCCTCGTAGGGAGCTCGAGCTCTTAGTAGGGAGGTCGGGCTCCTCGTAGGGAGTTCGGACTGCTGATTTCTTCCCTTTGGTGCTTGCGCCCAGGGTGCGCTGTTGTGCCGAGCTGTTTGCCTTTGCCACGTGTTGAGTGATTACGAGGTCGGGCCAAATCTTCCTTCATCAAGTGCCCCCCACTCCTCGTGCTAAGGGTCTTGCCTTGGCGCAAGGAGTTTGCAAGGTGGCAGGTGGATTTGTCCCGTATTTCGAATCTCGGTTGACTGATAGCGCGAAGTGCGCTGTCAGGGTTAGTTTCTTCGAGCGCCTAGAAGACGGAAGACGCGCTGACCTGCCTATAAATGCTACCAGACGTGACAGCGCGTGCTTTATTTTAAAATCAAAAAAGCGCACCGCTGGGAGACGTGACAACAGGCGTGCTTTCAAATTTTGAAAACGTGTCGCTGCCGCTTTTAATGTGAGGAGATGTGCGTTGTCGTTCTGTCAGTTTCAGGAAGACGTGCACCGGCGCTCTGTCAGTTTCAAAAAGATGTGCGCCAATCACGTCTCGGTCTTAGGGGACGTGCGGTCAGCGCGACTGCGGGCCGTCGGATTGGCTTTGATCTGTGTCGTTGCTTCTTGGTCACTATGGGCATAAATAGTGGGGAACCCCAATTGCTTTCACTTCTGTGCTGCCTCTTGAGCTCGCGTCCAAGTTTCAGTTCGCGCCTAGGCTTTCAGTTCGCGTTTCCAGGTTTTCGCTCGTTCAAGTTCCCGTAGTCTTGTTGAAGCTTTTTCCAGGTGAGTACCTTCCTGGAATCCACCTTCTCTCCTCGATGTCTAGCTCGGAATGCTCAGACGGTTCTTCAAGTGGGTCAAATGCAAGTCCTACGAACCGAGTCGCATCCCCTGATAGTCCTAGCGAGCCCGAGGTAGAGCTCGAGGAAGAGTTCAAACCCGTAGGTCGAGTCGCCTCGGGTAGTTTGGCGTCCACCTCTCGTCGGGGTCGGACGTTAGACAAGTTTGACCCCTCGACTATGACGCCTGAGGGACTCCAATCCCTTATTACCTATTACAATTTGCCTGGGGAGTACGCTTATTTTATACATTCGAGTAGATTTCCTTGGGAACACGATCCTGATGAGATCGTGATATTTCGTGAGCAACTCGTTGTGGGGCTGCGATTGCCTTTCCATCCCCTCTTTGTCGAGGTTTTGAATCACTTCGGCGTTACGGTCGGCCAGCTTCACCCGAACTCCATTCGTAATTTGGCGGGGACAATCTCCCTGTTTAGCGAACAGGGATTTCCTTTAGACTTGGAGATTTTCTCTTCCATCTTAATGCTTAAGAAGCAAGCGGGTCTCCTCCCCGGGCGTAGGCGG